CTAGCCCCGGCTGTTCCTAGTGGGATCCCCAGATTGGCAGCCTCAGCATCCCAGGGGACTTTGGGAAGTTTGATACGAGCTCGGCACCTCAGCCTGCCTCCAGGACCAGTGAATCAGAATCAGTATTTGTTCCTGGTGATTGGTTTGCTAGGGAAAACTTGAAAAGCAGGACTCTAACTGCCCATCCTGCTTTGAACAGGAATATGCCCTCCACTTGGCTCTTTTCATAAACCTCACCTGACGAGGGAGGTCCTCCCCCCGTCCTCTAAAATGATGAGAACATATTTGCCAAGCAGTGCCCAGGGTAGCCTTCTCTGGCCTTGGGAGAGGGCCTGAAACAGGTAGGCCTTCTTTCGGGAACACGCCTTGCCTGCCTCCATTCACACAGTGAATATCATGACAGCTAAAGTATCCCCAGGGGTGCCCTGTCTATACCCCTAGAAATATAGATTGATTGTTTTCATTTGGATAAAGAGAGAGAGCTGTTTATTAACCCAGATTAACCTGAGCTAGTTAAAGGCTCAAGCCTCGAATGTCCTGGTCCCAGTAGCTGGCAAGATGGCCTCTGGGGACCACGTAGATCAACACATGCCGCTTTGTTAAAACTATAAAGCCCAGCTGAGTAACTTGCACCTCCCTCTGCAGGAGATGGGTGGGGGACTGCAGTAAGCTATGCTCCAGAGAGAAAACCCAAAGTGTCAGGGAGGCCAGCTCCCGGCCCTCCGCTGAAGGCAGGGCTCACGAATCCATCTCAAGACCAGGCTTTTATTTCCTTGGGGAGTCCGCCATCTCTTAATCACAAAAGCAATAAGAATTTCCAATATGTTCCTCGGCCATGCCTAATCAGTTGTTCCAGCTGCCAGTCATCAGCGCCGGCTGGAGGTTCACCTAAAAGCTCTCTTCCAGCCTCGAAAGTGGCACAAACCCCCGAGGTGACACCAGACAATGAAGGCCACCCCCATGTGCACCAGTTGATTTGATCACAGCAGTTTTGTTAATATTGCTCTGATTCTAGAGGGATCAGTTCCTTTCCCTACACTTTGATTGACAGGCTTCGTTGTACGCCCCTTTGGTTGAGTGTGTATGGAAGGAAATGTTTCCTTTTTTAAATGATCTTACCGTTGCTCTCTAACGTGGAGATTTTCTTCTGGAGGTTAAAAAATCACGGGGCAAAGCACGAGCATTTGTCTGGAGGCACGTGTTGTGTTGGGCACTCTGTGAGGTCAGCAGATGCTCAACTTCAAACATGGCGACCCGCACCTGCCTCCTACAGAGTAGGGGCTGGAAAATCGTGTTTGAATGAATGAATGATTGAATGGATATTCTTAGACTACACGAAGTTGGAATCCTGGATGTATGACTGATACAGCTGGAAATTCCTAGAAGTCAGTGTAGGTAGGAGAGGCATTTCCTGGGCCACAGGGGCAATCACTGAGAAATGTGGATCCCAGGTAGTGGCCAAGGGCATTCCTACCAAGCCCCGGTTCTCTCATCCCAGACTTTTGTCCATTACAGCAGAAGGGTATGTGACATGGGGTTGGATGAATGTTGGGACACCATGCTCTGTTTTTATTTCCTCGAAATCTCTGGTCATTGTAGTAGCTACAGGCAACATCCACAAGCAGCAGTCTTGCCCAGGACTGCATGCAACCTGCTGAACAATCAGCTTCTGCTAGGGGACCTCACCAGGAGAGGTCTTGTCCCATACTTCTCATCCCATATCTTAGGAAATAGAGGCAAGTCATGGGCTTTGCTTTGATTTCTTTCAACTGACATAAGAAACTATTCTGTATACTTTACAAATTCAGACTTTAAATTGAACCCTAATGCCCTCCCTTTCTTATTCTCAAGGGGTCCCCAGTCAAAGGGTCGCTGTTGGTTTCAATGCCATTCACCAGCTTTAGCAGTGGAAGAAAGGGCTGCTGATGTGTGTTTGACTGTTGGTCAGTCAACGCTTGACCTCAGCATAGCTGGAAGGCAGGTTCTGGAGACTTCTGCCCTGTATCATCCACCTCATATCCTCTCCACCACCTAGTCCTACAGGCAGCCATTGCTATGGCAACTATTATATATGGCACCAAGTATAACTCAGAAGCACCTCCCCTCAACTGTACCACGAATATCTGGCTTTCTGCCCTCAGGCTTCTCTCATGCCCTGGTGCTGGGCATCTGCGAGAACTTTAGCCACTCTGCTACACGCGCCTACTTGTGTGAGAGAAGTAACACCCTAGGTAGGGCGATCTTTGACCAATAAGGAACAGGATTTGGTAGATAAAAGTTACTTTCTGTTCCTGTCCTACTCATTGGGCCCAAGATGGACTCCATTGACATTTAGATTGTGTCCGTCCTTGTTTACTCCAACAAACATGAATGATGCTGTCAGAGAGAGTAGGCACCAAGGGCGTCTTGTTCCCTAGTCTATCCCGGGACCTCGCCCAGTGTCTGCCACATAGTACGTGCTCCATAAATATTTGTGGAATAGTTGGCTGCTGAGAGAGGATTCGGAGGAACACAGGTGACTGAGGACAGAGCAAAAGTATTAAAGTAGAGGAAGGTAGAGGACATTACAATCGAAAGCACGGTAGCATCAGTTGCTGTGATATGGTTGAGGAGTGACCAGTTGTCTGACTTGGCCAGATCTGAGGGCACAGTGTGGGGCCACGGATAGAAGTGTGTTAGAGCACTTAGAACACCAGGTGATGATGTCTACTGGCAGGTCTCAGTATTGGGGTAGAATTAATGTCTAGAGACCTGTTCCCCTCACTAAATTGCACCGTCCTCAAGGGCAGGGACCCACATGCCACAGAGTGCCTGGCATGTAGTAGGCACTTAATAAATCCTGGGTTAAAAAAATAATGGTTGGAGGACAGATGGATGGATGGATGGATGGATGGATGGAGGGATGGCAGATGGTTGGTCCTGGCTATTAGATGGGATGAAGGAGAGGCCCTTAACCAGGCCTTTCAGCCTTTCAGCCTGTCAGTGTGTGGCAGGCTGCAAACAATGCCAAATTTCTCAACCTGGTATTTCATTGCAGCTAATGCAAAAATGTAGCTGATACAGCTCATGGAGCCCTCTGGGAAGCACCACATTTTCTGTTGAACCACAGAGTAGAGCATAGAGTGAGCATACCAAGAGTCCCCATTGCCCACAGGGTTGGGAACAGCAGGGGCCGTGGTCCCTTGTGATGAACACGTACACATACATGCAAAAATACCTCCAGGGGATAGCAGGTGAGGGGCGCATTCTGCAACTACAACGGAATAAATAAGAGAGCTCCCGTTTCTACAATAAGGCAGAAAAAAAACTGAGCCGTGTTTCCACAGTGTCTCTGTGACCTCTTATTATTCCATTAGTTTTTGGAATAGTGTATAAAACACCAAGCTCCACGCTGACAAACACCAGCATTGAAGCTGTTGCTGCAGTCAATCCAAATAGCCTTCTCCCCTGGGTAAAATTATTATTTGGAATACAAGCAGAATTGTGGTTGCCTGAGTGTGCTGAGCATAAATGAGGGTAGTGATTCATAAGGTGACTCTAGCGAGTTTGCAAACGTGCAACTTTTCTGGAGGCTGACGTACAACCGAAGGCCCGCAGTGCCTTTTTGAGCAAGTAAGCACTTTCTAGTCTCACCACCTCTTCAGGTCTTGGAGGGCTGTGGAGGATGCAGGCTTCTGAGGACAGGAGTTAACCTGACACCGTGCTGACTTACCAGAAATAAACCCTTCACATCAGATCACACTCTTGTCAGTAGCTTTTGAGCGGGAAGATGGTAATTCAGCTTCCTCACATGTTCCTTTAAGTACTTGAACTCTTGTTCCATCGGATGAAGCTTTTGGGGGCTGGGTCATGTGGGGTATTCGTGCTCTCTGGGAGAGGTTGGAGAGAGTGGTACTGGTCTAAAAGTAGCGCGCCCTGAACTTTTAAACCCTCAAATCTCTTTGATTATGTGGCTTCTTCTTCTTAATCCTGAACCTGATTCCTTTTTTTTTTTTTTTTTTTTAGATCCATTTATTCTTTGACATCAGTAGAGTAAGTTCAAAAAGAGCAGAGATGGGTATAAAGCTCTGCATCGCTTTGTACAGAGAAGGAAGTTGAAGGGAGTCAGCGTAATGATGCTGGCTGGTGTGATTGCAGCATAATGAGATGTGTGCTGAGTGGGTCCCAGACACTGAGAGCCTCTCTGATAGTGATAGACTCTGAAAGTGACAAGCCCCATCTCTTTTGTGACATCGTACCAATTAGCTCATCTAAATGGGCACATATTTAAGTTTGAGGTCACATACGGTTCTCAAAGGCTAGGCTGCCCCTGCGAATGAGGCTGTAACTCACTCTCTGTGTTGTAATAGACAACAGTGTGTGTGTTGGGGGGGATCCAGAGCTTTGTTTGAGGCCCCTTTTCAGGTTTTGTGGGGCTGGGCACGGACTCACCATTGATGGAGACTGAGTGTGTCCATGAATCACACCATCAGGGAAATGCCCGGGCTCAGTTAGACTCTGAGGTTAAGAGCGTGTCGGATCCTACACTGGTGCTAGGACAGGAGATGGTATTCTCATTGCCCTGGTTTAGCAGTGACAGAGAGAGCGCCAGCCTGGCCCGCGGAGGCTCGCTGCAGCCAGGAGAAGGGGCAAACGGCCTGTGTTCGGCCCTTCAGGGTCAGCAGACCAAATATTTACTGTTACCTCTCGTCCCCCCGGGACTGAGCAGTGCAAACCCAGAGACCTTCGCCCAGACACAGGCGTGACACGATTGACGCAGTACAGGGTCCAGGCAGGGAGCGAGCCAACCCGCAAGCATCAGCGGGAGCGAGCAGCAGGAAAGGCACATGAGCCTGGGAACCTGTCCCCCTGAAAACGAAAGCTGTGTGTGTCCAGTGAGCGGAGCACTGCTCCCGCAAAGCCACCGGGAGAACCGCAGACGAGCCCCTCAAACACGCTTGCTGTCAGCCCCCTGTATGGAAAGCACGTGCGGTCTGACGCTTGTTCTTCCTTGATTCCAGCCTCCATCTTCGGCAACAGTCATTCAAGCCGAAGCGGAACAGCTGCTGGGCCCATGCCAGCCCCGCATGCCGTCGGCCACCCTTCCCCGGGCCAGAGTGTGCAGGGGAGCCCCCACAACCCTGCCTCCCAGTTACCTCCGCTCGCAGCTGTGGACGCGGGAGCCGAGAGGTAAGGCCACCTGTCTCTCTTCTACTGGGTGTCGCCGCTCAGCTTCCCGGCACAGAGAAGGGCCTGGATGGTTGCTGAATTTTACTAATAATCCATCGGTTGGGTCGAGTTCTCCAAAGGTGACATATTGAAAGTGCACACACAAAGCATGTGGATCAAATATCTCATTATCTGTCTTACTTTTCACGGGAGAAGCCGAGAACTGGCGGTTGCCAGTTGAAGGGGCTGGTTGCCATTCCCGTCTTCCCCACTTCCCCTCAGTTTGTTTTGGTGACTCGGCTCTAAGGCAATGTCCCCACAGGCGGAACAGCTTTCCAGGGGCAAGATGGCGCCTTCGGCACAGAGATCAGGATTAGCTTGGGAGTGTAGCATAAAAGGGCACAGGATTTTAGGTGGGTGACCAGCAAGGGGCTGGTCACTGAATACTCTGTGTTGATACCACCCTCATAAAGAGTTTTGGGGAGAAAAGTTTTAAATCTGGACATTTCCGTCTGTCTTTGGACTGCCCAACCTTCCAATAATGTGGACAGCCTGTGGCCCCTTTTGTTCTCCCCACGTGTCAGCAGGCTTAAGCTGACCTATGTAGGGGTTACTCCCAGACACCCACAGGAAGAAAACGTTCTTGTGGGGACCCCTGTGCTATCCTAGAGTCCTGGGACATAAGAACGGCTCGAATGGGCAGCGGTAGTGAAGGATTTCAGTCTTGAATTGCAACCAGCGATCTGTGGTTTCATTGGTGTCGGCCTTATCTATAAGTTTTTAAATATGTGTTTTTAAGTTTGATAAACCGTATAGTTTTTTTTTTTTTTTTTTTACTTATGTCTCCTCTTCACTTACTAATACATCTGTTCATTTAATAAATCTGTTGAGTACTATGTGTCAGACACTGTTCCGGGTGCTGGAGATGCCAAGATTATTAAAACATGGTGCTTCCCTTAGGATTTAGTGGGTGAGGACAGACATACAAAGTATAGTAATGCTGTTTGGATAAATGATGTAATCTAGATGCCACAGGAGCCCAGAGAGGACGTCCCTAATTCTGCCTCAGGGAGGGAGGGGAAGAAAGGGTGATCTAGGCGTGGAAGGAAGATTAAGACTTCCCAGATGGATAAATGGGGAGCAGCATCCAAGGCAGCCAGAGGAACACATGCGAGACATGAGAGGGACAAAGACACACATGGAAGGAGGTCCCAGTAAGCTCAGGTACCATCATCCAGAGTGGACAGGACTGATGAAGTCAGGTAAGAGGGGGTTGGCTTTACGTGGAACAATGTATTTTATGCCAAGGGATTTACCTCTTACTGAAAGCGGAAAACCATTTGTGGCTCCATATATGGAGCCATATAGCCCATTTATGAGGAGAGAGACACATCAGACTGTCATCATAGAGAAGGGACTCAGGTGACAAGATGGCAGCCATCACGGCTGGGAGCAGGGACAGGAGGTAGAGAAAACAGGAAAGAGGTTATTGTAGGAGTCCTTGTGAGTAGTATGAGGACCTGAACTAAGGTGAAGTGGGAAAGGTGGAGACTTTATCCAAGGGCTGTCATTTAGAATTGCTAATCATTAATGTATTTGTGGAGTAAAAGGGAAGGGCCAAATTCATTTGCAGTTTACACCTCTAGACACAGATGTTTTCGAAAAGTGTGTCAATTAACAGAAGCAAAGGGAGTGTTTAGTAGGAGGAAGAGTAGGAGAGAAAGAATGGTAGTAAATGGACTTCAGGGTTGGGGTTTTAGGCAGCTGTAAAACATCCATGTGCATGTGTCTAATATCAATCAGAAATATGGATCAGAAGATATTGGACTGCTCTTAACCATGCTGCCTATGTGGTCAAGTGCAAACAGCTCCTAGCCTCCTCCCCCAGGCTCCATTAGTGGGGCGGGGCAAGTGGTAACCATCTGTTAAGTTCACGGACACTGGGGGTGGACAGTCCTGCCAGTGATCTGATGTATTTCTAAAGGTTGAGATGAGCTTATTCATTTTAGCATTTTATTAACTTCCCAGTCAGGTTTTAAGTGATATTAGCCATGGGCTAATCAGCCTCTCATTTCCTTCTGCCTGGCTGAGAATCATACTCCACAAGATCAGGAAGCTAAGAAACCATCACTTGAGACCTCTTCTTCATCTCATCTTATTATTAATTCTCATTAATACTCTGTTTACAGGAATACAAGAAAAAGCAATCTGTGTGTCTTCTTTTTGCACACAGCCTTTAAAAGAATAAAGGTAGAAAAAGGTTTTAGCCATGACTGGCATTAACAACAACCCCCCCAAACACCTGATGTTCGAAGCCCAGCTCCAGCGGTTGCTGGTTGTTTGAATGTGTTCCTTAGGTCCTCCTGCTACTTTGGTTTGTTTGTTTGTTTTTAACATTTTATCTTAGTTTATAATTTTAACTTTTTTTCAATTCCCTCTTTTGAAAGCTTGTAACATATAAAAAAAACTATAAGAATAGTACAGTGAACACTCATACCACCCCACATCCACACTCACCCACTGTTGATATTTTCCCTTCTCTTTCTTTCTCTTGGTCTCTTTCTTTGTTTGTTTGCTTGCCTGTTTTTTCTGAACCCTCTAAGAGATTGCTGTGAATATCATTGAGCTTTAACCCTAATTACTTTGAGAAAGATCTCCTAAGAAGGACATTCTCCTGCATAATCACAATGTAATTATCATGCTCCAGAAATTGAACATCAATAAAGCATTATCTAACATGCAGTCAATACTGAAATTTCCTCGATTGTATAAATAATGTTCTTTATATCTAGCTTTTTTTTCTTTTCTTTCCTTTCTTTTGATCCAGGATTTAATAAGATCACAGTTCTCATTTCTTGTTATCTTTCTGAATCTAATGAAGTTCCCCAGTTTTTAAAAAGTTATCATCATCATTGTCTTTCATGACATTGACAGTTTATGAAGACTCAGGACATTTATTTTGCAGAATGTTCCAGAGTTGGGACTTGCCTGCACTTTTCCTCTTCGACAGACACATCCCTTCTCATCAGGAGCCCCACACAGAGAATGTGGTGTTCCTTTACTCATTTAAGCCTCTGCTCACACCCCATGGGGAATTAAGATTAAAAGAACCGCAGCAGGTGAAGCACCTAGCATGTGGCGTAGCGTGAAGGCAGGCAACCTTGGCGTGGCTGGGGGATTGAGGTAGAGAAGCCAGAGGGTGTTGTTAAGTAATGACAGTGGTGGACAATGTAGGCCATCATGGAAGGTAAAGAGGGGAGGAAGGGGAGGAAGGTAACGGTACTTTATATGGCTGGGTGATGAAGTGTACCTTCTCACACATGTGGCTTTGCTTTGTGCTGTGCTCTTCCCACCGGATATGTGGCCCATTCCTTTGCCAGCCCAACTGGACTGGGCAAGTCGATGGAAGGTTATCTCTTCCGATCAGGTTTGGGGAGGAGGGTGACATGAAACAGCCCTGAATTTTGCACTGTGTTTGCATTAGTGTGCAGCATAAAAACACTAAGAGGAAATGTGCTTACCTTCCGCTTTTGGTTTATATATCTTTGCCTCTGTTTGCCTGGGAAATCCCCCAGTAAAAACTCCAGCAGTTTTCTTAACGGAAATAGGTTTATCACACTTTGCGATTTTTAGTGGGAAACGCATTTTTTCCTGCTTTGCGGGCACTGATTCATCATTTACTTAGCTTTAGCTTGTTAATAAAATGGGCTGAGTCACTGTCAGAAGTCAGGAAAGGTCTACCACATCTATCCAGTTAGCATCAGGTTCTTTGATCCTTGCCATCATAAAATAAAGTAAATGCAACTTCTCTCAATTTGATGAGGCTCCATTTTTATTTTGAAATATTATCTGAATGACACATCGTTTGAGTGATTTACGCAGCACCACACCACATCACCTAATGTTGATTTAAGCTTATTATGGGAAGTGGTGTTTCACGATGTCATGTTGAATGAGCCAAGAGTACTTTACAACAGTGGCTTCCCATAAGAGGAACCCAGCGTCTTGGAAATGTCAGTTCATTAGGTTTCATAGTATGTCTGTTAGAGCAGAGAAAACAAACATATTGATGTGAATCCCTTTCTGAGGTGGAGAAATCTTACAATCCCAAGAAAAGTCCGCTGGATCTGTGTTGCTCCCCTTGGCCGAGAGCATGTGAGCTGCCTCTCTCCATTCCACAGATGTCCACAGACATGGGGTGCTCTGTAGTATGACAGAGCTGAAGGAGACTTGAGCATTGACCACCTGGGGTGACTTGGGAAGGGCTTCGATGAGCCCCATCTCTGAGCCAGAGGAATGAAAATAGGTAACGGATGTGGCCTTCTCGAGGCGTACACAATCTAGGACAGGAATCAACAGCAGAGAATGTTAGGGACAATTGTTTTTGAGAAAGTAGTCAAACAAAATACCTTAACCAAAAAAGGAATGTCAGTTTCTTGAGTCTGTATCAAGTATTGGGAAGCCGTACTGTTTTTTTGTTTTTTTTTTTATCTATATCAGATGTGGCATTGCTAAGATTCTAGATATATATATATATATATATATATATATATATATATATATATATATATATATGCACAGTCTTTCTGTACCTTTGGGTCACCAAGGCTGGTCTTCACTGATACCATTTTTTAATTCAGCACTGGAAACATGTTGTAGATTTTCTGGATGCTAAGGGGTTAAGGATAGCAACTGTTTTCTATTTAACTTCTTTGCAATTCTGCACTGTTCTCCAACTCTTGTCAAACCAGCCTCCTCACTGACTTTGTTTGTATCTGCATCTTATTTCAGGATCTTTTTCTTCCTAGAAAGACAATAAGGACCTTCCGTCATTGTCCTCTTCTTGACTAAACATTGCCCAGCCTGGAGCTTGGATTAGTTCTCAACCCAGAAAGCCCCCTTGCATCTTACAGCTCACAGAGACAAGTTCCCCTTGGTTCTTATCATCTGTTTTATTTATTTATCATTTCCCAGATATTGTCTTGCTAACTGAATTATTAGTTCTCTGAGGGCAGGAACCT